CCCCCTTCCCCCGCCGCCCCTGCCCGTGGCGGCAGCACTGGTTGCGCCAAGGTGTGGCGGCTGATCGCACCCAGATTACCGCGCATTTACCACTTCAATTATTTCAGCCAGGACTTGCCGCCCGCTCTCCCCCCGCTCCCGCTTCGCCGCGCAGAGGAGCCGAGAGGCGGAATGAGAATCCCCGGGGCAGAACTTTGATATTGAGCCCGGGCGGCGGGTCCAGGCGCATCCTGCCGATGCCTCTGAGGCGGCCGCGTCTGTCCCCGGGGCGCACGCGGAGCGCACGCTGGGCATGCGGGCCCTCTGCCTGCAGGCTGAAAATTGTTTCTGGAGAGTTTTGCCTTGGGGGAGCAGTTCTCATTATTAACTTGTGGTGGGTTGCCGGCGGGGCGAGAGGACAAAGAAACGGACGCACATGCGCGCGCAGACCCCACGGAAATGTGTTTTTCCCCTCCTTTCCGCTCGTGCGATGTGCAGTGTGCAGCCGGCCACGCCCCGCCACCGCGCCGCGCGCTTCGGTCGGGTCTCGTGAAATTTTGTGGTCCAGCTTGCCGCTAATCCCCGCTGGCGTTCGGCCTTCGGGCGCGGCTGCCGGGCCGGTTAGGGTAAAGCGCACACTGTCTCTCGCCGCTCCGCCCCGCGCCACATGTCAGCCGCGCGGCGGTGTAGCGAGCAGAGCAGCGCGCCGGGGGGCTTTGGTTCGCCACAGACTCAATTATTGAACCCGGCAGTACAGTCACGGCGCGGCGGCGAGACTGGCGGCGCGGAAAGCGAAAATCGCCACCAGGGATGTCTCGATTCTCTCATTTCCTTTTTATTGGAGAAGACAAACCAACAACTAGGACTACGTTGCCCGCTCAGACCCGAGCATATCAGTCCGTGAAATTACTTACAACATGATAACCTAGGGCTTAAAGCTATGTACAGTGATAGGAACAGAGGTAGGAGTAGCCGGAGGCGTCCCAGGGACGCCGCCTCTACATTTTCTTAATAAATACACATTGGTCGGAGCCGGATCTAGCCGGCGAGTGTCCGTTACATCCGGCAGTCTTGTGACTTTTGTTTGGACCCGCCTCCAATTCACTCTTACTGGTAAAACAAAAGTAGAAAGTTGCACACACCAAATGATGTACAGTATCAAGTGAGCAAAAACCAAACACTACACATGATGTCGAACTGAACTGGTCGTCAATTGGTGTAGACGTTTTGTTTACGTTTTGATAAGTAATGTTGAATATTTGCACACTACTAAGTGTGCAGCTCAGTTAAACACCATGTAGTGTGCAAAATCATCAGTTACACACTTAAAATTGCAATATTTGCACACCTGTTTTACCAGTGCTCCGCTCAATAAGGTGGTCGTCTTTGCCCCATTTTTAGACATCGCGGGCGTCACGGCACTGGAAGCTCTTGCATTGACGGGTGCGCGTGGGACTCGCGCATTTCCCACAAATCCTCCGGCGTGTGCAAAACAGGTTTGCGAACTCAGGGGGACACCGGCGCGCCACGCGCGCCGCCCACCGACAAAATCGCGTTGTCGGAGATCCCCCTCCATTTCGCGACCCCGCACAATCTTGTTGACGGGGACGTGCCTCGCCAAGCCGGCGCCTCACGGCGCGAACATCTCGTTGACGGGGACGTGGTTCGCGAGTCCCTTGACGACGAGCAGCACGACCTGCCCGGTCGCCTCCGCCATGCCGGGGCCCATCTCTCGGATTAGCTCGCGCCAATTCTCGTTGAGGAACACGTTTATCTGGCGACCTGCGGGTGGGAGGTTGGTAAACAGCGTATTAGACGAAGATCATACAGTATGTAGCTGCGTGACTGCCAGGCGAACTCTCGAACGCGGACCTGTGGAACTTACCAATCACGGGGTCGCCGTTGAAGATGTTCTCGAAGTCCACGACCATGTGATCAGCGCCGGTGATGGCGATGTCGGTGTTGACGATGTCGAAGTACTCTTTGCCGTCCGCGCCCTTCCTGCTGGGGAACTCGTACTTGTAGTGGACCTTTAGGTTAGCTAGAGAAAGAAATCGACCAGTTACTTGGTTATAGTAACTAGATATACGAGTCAAAAAACGGTAGTATAAAATCCCTCCAAAACTGAACGTTTTGAGTTCAAGCCACTGCTCTAATGTGCCACGTGAACCGTTTCGGAGCGGGAAAAAGGTTATGAAACAAATTGGCAAATAGACGAGTGTAATGACTGTTTGAGATCAAATCCATGCAGGACACTGCGCTTTATTAGTTTTAAAAGCATTCGAGTAAGGTGCTGTGCCGGTGCCACATCGTAACATAATTTCCACTTATGTCTAACTCTCAAAAATATTAATATTTACAAAATAGGTTGTATATTTACGCCAGTCTATTCCAGCTATACGATGAATTCCAAATCGATAGTTTTCAATTGTAAATTTACGACACGCTTCATTAAGAAAATTCGGAAAACCGCTGCCTATTTTTTTTTCGCAGGAAGGGGGTAGTCCTCCTTAACACCGAATTTTGTACGAAAATGCCAAGCGACTTCAAGCTCGGGGCAAAAACCCATACAACCGCCACCGGCAGGCCAAGGAATCGTCCAAAAAAGCACCTCAGTTTATCTCAGCAGATTCATTCGGCCAAGCTAGTGAGCTTCGCGCCTGCAAGACTCAGGGTAGGCCACCCCGCAATACTCGCATGCACTGCACGCACGATGTGGCCTACCTATCAGGCGCTCCGAGAGCTTGCATTAGTTAGACTTGACAGGTTTCGTAGCGGAACATGACGGTTGTAATTTTTCTGGGTGATTCCTAAGCCAGCGCGGCCTCCTCCGAACGGAGTTGCGCGTGCTGAAAAGTGAAGACGGAAAACTCCTTTTGACGGAAGGGCGTTCCCACTTTGTTTCATTGGGAGTATTTTCTTATTCTGATTTTAAAGAACGGGACCATCGCAGGCTTATTTTCGTCTAAAAAAACCTCGAGCGCCGAAACGCTGAGAGATAGAGCAGAGAATAAAACAAAAACTGAAAACCGAACAGACCAGTGGAGTAAATGGCTTCGCGATCGCCCTAATACGACGACCGACGACCCAGGACCAGGATCCCCCATACTTACTGACGGTGACGTTAGATTTTCCATTGCCCGACACAGGCAGTAGCAGCACGCGTCCTTTTGACTTATAGAGCCCGGCAAGCGTGAAGCGGGGAATGATGACGTCGAACTCGTTGGTTCTCTTGGCGTAGTTCATCCTGCGGGGGCAGAGATAGTCAGCTGCACTCTAAAATTTGTTGTACTAAAAAAAATGCCAAGTAACTACTTATGTTTTTTGTGCTGAAAATAATTCTTTAGTTTAAAAAAAACGTTTTTCCTAATACCGTATTCATTACTCTAGAAAAGCTTTTAATCCCACTAGAAACAGTTTAGTAATACTAAAGAATTTATTGCTTTTATCGGCTCATATACAACATTACTAAAATGTTACTAGGCGTATTTTCTAGTAAAAAGTTTTGAGTGTCCGAGTCGAGTACTGACATGAGGGGCGTGTGTGTCACCCGACGGCCACGACGCACCTCATGTTGAAGACGCGGCTCTCGTCCAGCCCCCAGATCTCGGCCGGCTCCCAGGTGACGTTGAGCCCGACCTGGGGGGTGCCCTGCGCCAGGGACATCTTGGGCACGACGAGCGGCCGCATGCTGGGCACCCGAAGCTTCTTGTCGCCTGCGGAGCAGAGTCGGAGTAAGAAGCAACGGCCGCACAAACACTACTCCTACTGTAATCTGCATTTCTCATACCATTGGCGAGGTACGGCAGGCCAGCCTTGGCGCGTTGCTCCGCGCAGGCGCTCAGCTCCGCGGGTGGAGCCGACTGGGAGCACTGCGGGCCCAGGTACGAGGCTGGAACAGGAAGCAGTGCTCATGAGTTGAAGGTCTCCCTACCTCGCGTATCGCACTCAACTGATAGGCTGTGTACCTTTTAGCAGATGATACCTTAATACACCTACACTAAATACAAAGTATACACATACATACGTGCGTAACGTTAAGGTGTCAGTTATAGCTTTTACTCTCGATCGATAAGGACAGAGAACTTGAGAACTAAGCGCTAATAAGCCAGCAATAAACAACATTATTTACTTTATGTTTATTAAAGTTGTATTAAGGTATTACCTGCTAAAGATGCTAGTGTGCAGGCATGCAAACTCGAAACTAGCGGGGTCCTCACGCACCGCGCGTACTTTTTGTTTCACTCACACGCGGGTATTGACCCGCGCCTCGTGCGCGTGCCGGCCAAAATGTGACCTGTTCTCTACTCTCGTCTATTCGGGAAGGAAAAGGGAAAGAATACACTCATACGGGCATACAAAACTCGCAGTGTAGTGCTTGCACATGCAATATTTTAAGCAGATACAGTTACGCACAAAAACTTTGTGCATAACTATGTAAAAGTAGCTATCCATGACTAGGCACAATCTTGAGCATACATTGGAAAAACAAACACTGCAAATCCAACACTACTTCGTACACATAAGGCAGAGCCGACTTGCAAGCACACTCAAAGGGGACTCACAAGGAGACTTAGGTAAGTGTAAATTCCCGATTCGGTTCAAACTCGGCATATTTGCTTCTTATCCCTATAGAAGACTATTGCGCGTCAAAATTTGTGCTGAAGTTCATATGTCAAAACTCCCAAAGGGGCCTATACGGGCCTATAATTCCCCAAAAATAAAAATTTCATGTTAAAATTTTTTTAAAGTGATATTCCGACTCAGAATGTGCGGTTTTGGGGGGGTAGTTCCTCTTCCATTTTTCGATTTGAGAACGCCTTCCATGAGTTTTTGTTGAATTTCTACACTTTTTCTATAAAACTCTGCTATAAAGTACCCCGGGATGTGAACTTCAGCACAAAATTCGACCGGCGTTCGTCATCTACATGGTCAAGAAGCAAATATACCGAGTTTGAACCGAATCGGGAATTTACACTTACCTAAGTCTCCTTGTCAGGCAAGTGTAAATTCCCGATCCGATCGTTCCCAAACTCCTTATATCTGCTTCTTCTCTATGTAAGTGACGAATGCCGACCAAATTTTTTCCTGAGTGTCATAGACCGAAACTCCCTATAAAAGCGTACAATTTCGAAAAATACAAATTTCTACTTTTTATACAAATATTAATTGATTTTCTGACTCAAAATGAGCGTTATTTTGAGGGGGGGGGTAGTTCCTCTACCACTTTACGATTTGAGACCTCCTTCCGTCATTTTTGGCCCAAATTCAATATTTTTTCCAATATTTGCTCCCCCAAAGTACCCTAGAAATTGACAAAAAATCTAAAGAAAAATTCTAACGTTAGTCGTCATCAACAAAGATAAGAAACAAATATACCAAGTTTGGGCGAGATCGTGAATTTTCACTTGCCTAAGTACTCTTGTCAGGAACAGTGTACTTGCCATAGTGCACACCTACAAGTCAACACATGAGAACAGCAGCTCCCCAACAGCGACGCTCACCTCTGCCACTGTTAAAAATTTTATTAAAATTCATAACATTTTTGTTATTAATTTTAATAACATGCGTGATCTAGTAACTGGTGTTGTAAAAAGTATTTTCATGTTATAACTTTTTTGAACATTTTTGTTATTAGTAAATACAAATGTTAGTCTTAATGCTTCACAAACATGTTATTAAATTTAAGAGAAATTTTTTTAACGTATTTATCTCAAATATCTCAAAATTTGTAAAAAGAGTATAAAAAGAGCGGTTTTCGAAACAGTCCGTAGATGTGAGCCGTTTTCCAGGCAGTCACCAGAGGTAAGCTTTTCTAAACAGTCGCTGGAGATGAGAGCAGCTGCTGTTACTCTAGGTGTGACAAGTATGGCAAGTATCGGCAAGTATACTCTTCCTTGTGTGTACTTCGGCAAATACACTCTGCCTTGTGTGTACTATAGCAAGTACACTCTTCCTTGTGTGCACTTACACCTTTGGGTTTGCACTCAAGGTGCCTAAGACGTGCTTTTCAAGGAGTGCTATTTAAATTATTAGTGTAGTGCCTAGATAAGGATACAAAACGGTCCAAAAGATGCTTAAAATTAGTACCTTTATACAGGCTCTTAACATTTGTGCCCTTTAAATTTAGGACCTTGCACCTTTTTTTTCCGGTGTAGTAGGTGTATTGAGGCTCGGGATTCGCTCGAGCAACCACACCCATCATTACATTACGGAAACCGCCAAAGCAGTGAGCTCAAGCTTTTACTGCCTGCCAAAACTTTCCGCCAGCCTTCGGGTGTCACTTACTCCATGTTCATCCTCTTCCGCCACTGTCCCTGAGCAACGATAAACTACTCTCTAGCCAGAGCATAAGTATTACGGGACGCGCTATTAGCGCCAGTCGATTCACTCGGATCGCGCTAGAGCCGGACTCGACAGGGGCAAGGTCAGCTGGTGCGGCAAACCTGCGCCTCGGGCCGGAGAAAAGAAAACTTGCGGTGCAAGTGGATCGGCGGCAAGCGTGTGGGTGTGATGGACATGCTGGGTAGACATCACTTCCCGTAGTTTTTCTCTCCTCAAACAAAACAAACACGCGCTTTTTTCATGGCGCTAACATTTGATTCTTCAAACGCCAAGAAGTATTATGTCGTATTATGACTTGATAGGTAACACACGGTTAAAGTCGTTATTAAAGTTCTATATTACAATGTACAATTAGGCACAGTAATACTATAGCCTAAAGCCCAGAGCCTGTCCAACAATACAGTGTTCACTTTGATCACTACAACGCGATACCGTCTCTTGGATCGGTATCGTCCTTTCCCTTCTGTGACTTACGGAGCTTGGCGGCGCTGGCACCGGCGAGACAGAGCGCGAGCAGAAGGGCTCTCATGGTGATCGAAAGCGCTCGCACAAACACACACACACACACACCGACACGCACGCACCGACTCTCGCACACAAAGCCCGGCGCTGACTGGAGCCGACGGCCCCTGCTCAGGTGATATGTAGAGAGACTGCTCATTCCATCCCGGCTGATTGGAGTGGGGAGGAGCGAGAAGAAGGGGGAGCCGAGACAGTCGGACAGCGGAGAGGAAGACTGGTAGGCTGACACGCCGACTGGACGGGGGACGACAGTGTGGATGGACGCGGACTCCGGCGAGACAGTCTCCCGCCGGGTTAGGGAAACGCAAGGGCAAAAGAAACAAACCCCGCGGACTCGGCGGTACCCGTTTGTTATGCTTCAATTACCTGTAACCGACAATGGTACCATCCCCTTCCCCCTCCCCCCTCCACCCACCCCAGTTTCCCTCTCTTGCCCCCATATCCTATTCTCTCATTCCATCTCGTTTATAATAATCATATAATAATCTGCTGGCCTGTCTGGCCTGGAAGGATACGGAGAGGGATGAATTTATTCATCCTCTGGAAATCTTCTCTCCACGCCACGAACTGCCACGCCCCACCACGCCGCGGAGGAAGGGGTCGTTCTGCTGCGCTCCCGATATTGAAATGCAGATGGAATACATCTTCACGGTCCGCGTTCAAAAAGCGCCAGAAATAACAAACCCGCGGCCGGCGGGTGCTTCTTATTTGCATGGAAAAACATAATTAGGAATTACCTATCGATGCGGAAAACAAACTCGCGTTGGACGCGGTAGGGGCGGGCGGCTGGTCTCCGGTCCCTGTTGTGCTTCCATTAGGCGCTTAACATGACGCGGATAAATGCCTGCTTGCGTCCCGCTCGCGTTCATCGCGACGCTAGTGCGAAATTTTGCGGGGGAGAAATAAAGGAGATTAGTGCGCCTCTGCGGAAGAGCAGGGGGGGGGGGGAGGCATCGAGGTCATTGTTCTGCTTTGGGTTAAAATGGACGCTAGACCCGCGTGGCGCACACATGCGGATGTAGGTGTCGGATGACGTCTGAATGAATCGGCGCCCACAGTGTCTGCTCGCCGTTCTCTTCGAATTTTTTATTTTCTTGCCCCCTTTTCTCACGGCGGCCGCTCGGATGCTCGTTCGGCAGCTTCTGCCGCCATTGCTGAGCCGTTTACCCACCGGCGGCAAGCGCTCGTTTCAATAACTTCCCCTCAAAGTTTTCCGTTGTTGTAGAAAAGAATACAATCACGCTCGCTTCTCGAGCTGCCGCCCCCGGCGCCCCTGGCGCCCTGCCCGGGGCCCGAGGTGTTGGCTCATCTTACGTTTCGTTCGAGATTGATGACTCGGCCGCGGGCGGCGGGCGGGGTGGGCCGGCCTGTGTGTGCATGGCAAGCTTTATGGCCACTGCGAGCTGAATTATGACGGGTGTCGGTGCTTCTTTAGCAAAGCACTCGTTTCGCCGTAATCATTTTTTTTATTTTATTTATTTTTTGTTTTCCGTGGAAAAACAATGAATGGTTTGTGCCCGCCATGCGACGGGGTGGGTTTATAAAGCAGCCCGTCTACCCTTAAAAAGTAATCGTTGTAACTCAATCTTCGTTCCCTCCCTCCATGTCTATATGCAGTTACATATTACTTTCCCTTTTCGAGCAATATTTTGGCAACCTTGCTACCCCAGCACCCGGCAGCCAATAATTGAGTCGTGGGGTGATTACTTTCACTGAGTCGTTTGTCCCCCGCCGCTCCGCCGCTCCCCCGCCTCAGTCAAACGTTATCTGTTTACGTTGTTCCGGGAAACGTAACGCGAGAGCACATGAGGCGGGGTGGAGAAGGCGGAGGAGCTTCGAGGTTGGAGGAAACGCTCGTTCAGCCCTTAAAAAAAGATGGTGGACGATAAATATAAAAGTGAACGGCGTCGGCGAGGGGGCGGGGCCGGCGCGGGGCGTCGGCGGGGTGCGTGGCTACTACCCGGGGACCCCCGCCCCGCCCGCCCCACTCCGCCCCACACACCCTGCCCCGCTCCGGAGGGGGCCAGATAGCCGCGGCAAGAATCGCATCAGAGAAAATCCAGGCTGCGGCGCGCAACACTTCGAAATCCCGGGGTCGTAGGCCGTGGGCCGCTGTGGGCGGGGAGCGGGCCGCAGCGACACCCCGAGGCGTCCGTTCTCTTGGAATCACATCACACAAATATGGCCAAGTGGGGTTGGGGGGGGGGGGACTTAAAACCAAAATATTTGTTGTGCCGTTACCGTCTGCTAATGAAGACTCCCACAATGATGTGAGATAAGAAATCACCGCGATTGTAATCAAGGGTTACTGGATACTGAATGCCTCTGCTTTTTGCTTTGCTAAACCAAAGATAAAGACGGATAAGACAACACTTTGCTCGAAGCAGGGGGCTGAGCGGAAGAAAAGCGGACAGGACACTCCACTACTGCTCTTTGCGGGTCTCGCTAGAAGGGGCGTGTTCGACACGGCTGGCGGCTCCCCCCTCCCCTCCACAACGCCACCCTTTCGTCCTCCCCTCGCCCATCCCCGTCCCCCTAGTCTCCCACAATGACGAACAGCTGGGGCGGGCCGTGCATCACTGCCGCCGGGTGATCGGGGGTGGTCCCCCCGCCCCCTTCTTCACGAAAAAAAAGGTCGCTCTTTGACAAAATCGGAAGAAAAGTAAAACAAACCACCAACGTACGAACGAAGCTACCCGGGTGGACGGGTCCAGCGGGCGGGTCCGGTCGGAACGGACGAGAGAAGAAGAAAATACACATTGTTCGTGGGGGGTAAATATCTGCACGGGTCTGTGAAAGGGGGTTGCCTGGGCGGGAGGGGGCAGTTCGCCGGTGGAGTTGGGCCGTTTGTTTAAGAGGCTTGACGGCTGCTTTTTGCCGCACGACGCCCTGCTGTACCGTGTCGCTCGCTGTCCAGTCGAACCGGCTACGCCCCGCCACGCCAGGCACCACCACTCTCCGGGGAGCGTCAATTTATTACGTGAAGCGCTCCGGGGGCTGCCCTCCTTGCTCACCCCAAACTCCCCGCGTCTCCATCCGACGCCCGGTCCCCTGCCTCAACCAGAAGAAGAGAGAGAGGTACGTACGTACATAGTACCTCTGTGAACCTACCGCACGCCCAAGTAAAACTTCTCAAATCTACTCCAAAAATTAGGAAAAATCCAATATTAAAAAAAAAGAATCCTTGAATTCTGACGAGTTTTCCTCAATGCGGTGGAGTCCCTCAAAGTTTTCCCTTTTCCCTAAAAAAAAAAAAAAATTGTAGTGTGGTGCACTTGCACTACTTTGACAGTACAGGACAAGGGTACTATCGAGTTGTCGCCAAGTCGCATAATACTCCGCACACCAGTCCCATAATACCTTTATAACACTCCATAATACTCCATAATATGCCCCAAATACCGCATAATACCACAATACTCCGTACACTGCTGAGGTGAGTTGGCGACCCCTCGAGTACCACCACAAGGTATCCGGCACTCCAGCAGCTGTGTCGCACAGGTCCTGGAGTCGTACAACTTAAGTCGCACAGCTACTGGACACCCCTGATTTACAGAGAAGCAAGGGCCGCATTACAAGCTGTGCAATAACTGCTATTATGTTCACACACAGAGACACGCTTGGCCTACGCTATTCGGAGAGACAATGACTCATTGCACGGGAAAGTCTGTAAATCTTTCCGCGCGTTTGGCGGTATGTGCGGTTGTGCAGTAATATGCTCCCCGGTTATTGTTTCCAGACCGCGGCCGAGGCACAACCAAACAGTCGTCGTTGTCTGAGTATCTCTGTACTCCTCAACGACCGACATGCCCGCCGGGCCTCTCTCCCCTTCCACCCCTTCTCTCATTCTCTCTCTCCCTCCTCTCTCCAAGCGCTACCAACTTGCAATCGCGTTAAACCGCAAGCTGAGTTAGTGGCTGAGCACCGGTGGCGCCGCCCTCAGGGTCCGCCACACATGACAACAGCGGCCGCGCACGCGCCCCGCCCCGCCCCGCCCAGCCCTGCCCCGCCACGCCCCGCCACGCCCCGCCCGCTCAGAGTTATGGCTCGGCGCGGCCAGGGTGGCGACCATTACCGCCGCGCCGAGGAAGCTACACGCGGTGCGCGGCTCATCGCAATATGCTGCCGAGGAGTACTTCGCCGAGTACACACAGCCGGAGACGAGGCGCGATCATGGAGGAGGTTCGGGACATTTCATCTCCAACGGTGATATGGAGTGACTTCGAAGAGTCGTGGGAGCGGCTGGGCGAAGAGATGTGGCGGAGGTTGTGGCGCTAGCGACGGGCGACGGGCGTTCCCTTCCCTGCTCCGGTGGACGGGAAAGTGGTCGTGAACGGGACAGCGCGTCCTGAGGCGTCCCGGGGGGCTGGTGCTGTGGGGCCCGGCTGGGGGGCGAGGTAGGCCTGCACTCACTGGGCTCCCTACACCCCACCCCATCCCACGCTCTCGCTCTCTCTCACGCACACACACACGCGCGCGCGCGGGTTGGCAGCGCTCTGCACTTGATAAAGGTACAGACGAATTGAGAGCCCCCCGGCCAGTTAGGGGTGCACCTCTGGGGGGTGTGGACCTCCCTCTGGCCGAGCCCTGGACCGGCCGCCCCGCCTGGCCCCGCCCTTAGGACGGACCAATAAATTCCTATAACACTCGTCTTCGTTGTCTCCCCCTCCTCCATTTGGCCAGGAGGTCTTTGGGTGCGGGGCCGTGCGGGCTGAGGCCGTGCCGGGCGAGGCCGCGCTGGGCGAGGCTGTGCTCGGCGAGGCTCGGCAGGTGGCTCGGATAAATAAGAGAGCGAGTAAGAGGAGGTGAGAGTGTGCGAGGCCGCGCCGAGGCGTGCCGAGAGGACAGCAACGGCCCCGGCCACATTGCCACACGTAAATATCACGCCTTTTCCACCCTCTTTCTCTCTCCCTCTGTTGCTGCGATTTATTTTGGACTGAGCTCTGCAACCATTTTCTTTTTCTTTGCTCCCCGCTGCGATTCCCTTCACCCCATCACCTCGCCGTTTGATGACACGCGGTGGCCGTGCCCTGCTCGCGGGTCGTCCCGGATCCTCCGGGCCGTTAGGAGGAAGTTCATCACCAGCGGCAGCCGCGGCGGCGGGAATCAGCGGAGCAGCGCAGAGCTCCTTATTAAAACGCGGTGATGGCGGCACGGCGGCGCTGCCGGCCGTCCGAATGAAATCGTTTCGCGCACCGGGGGATGGCGCGGTGCGGTGCGGCGAGGCGCAGAGATCGGCGAGCATCCTTTTACGAGTGTTCATATCCACAGCTTCACACCCCACTCTGGCACTGGCCAGGGAAGCATCAGGAGCGGCCCGGCGGGGGGAGGGTAGGGGAGGGGAACAAAGCTGCCGGTGTTTCTCGCCGCCTCATCGTAAACCGAGGAAATGTCGGCGCTGTAAGCTGCGAGCGAGTCTCTCTTTTATAATGATGGCCGGTGCGTAGCGCTGGGCCGGCGATAGCCTCGTGGTGCGGCGGCGTGGCGGTGCGTGGCGTGATCCAGCAGCAGCGGCCGCCGCATCGATCCAAATCCATACGCAACAATATGCACAGAGCCCCCCTCAGACAACCCCCCGTTGCGTCTCGAGATATGCAGCTCGGCGGCGTGCAGCGCGTCTTGTGACAGGATATTTCGTTGCGGCGGGCTCTCTTGCAGAAGGGTTGGGGGTGGGGGCGTATTCAATTCACACCCATACCCTCTTCTACCCGCCGCGGCCCACCGTCCGAGCCGCACTCCGGCGCGACGAGCCAGAGGCATGAAAAAGTTACGCCCCATCTCTCTCTCTCTCACTCTTCTTGCTCTCCCCTCTCTCCCTCTCTCGCCTTGCCACTTCTTTTATTATTCGCCTTTTGGAATTCTCGGCCGACAGTAAACTTAGTGGCATGTAAGTGCCAGACGGGCGCGGAATGCTGAACAAGGCGCTCAAGTTGCGGCCGACCAGCAGATGAACATCCGGGGGATGCAGCGCCTCGCCTCGCCCCAGCCGCCCAGCCACCCACCCCGCCTCGCCCCAGCCGCTGCCGCGGTCCCAACATCATCCGCACCTGGTTTGGAAGGCTGTAGACGGTTCCGACTAGAAAATTTATCATTCTTTTTTCCTCATAAAGATCACTGATGCACGACGAGCTACCTAAAAAGTTCTGTGTCGACACGCACTTTTAATACTTTTAGTTTATTTTAAGTTTCTTACCACCAAACAATTTTTCCCCCGGTGACCGAGCCGGTGTTGTTGACGTCGACAGTAACATTGTTTTTGTTCCACGATCACGATAATGGCCAGAACGTTAATTTGGCGTCGTCTGGAATTGCCGCTGCTATCGCAATTTGCGATGTTGCTGTCGTAACTATGTATATAATCTAATCTGCGATCGTCCGCCTGTGTCAGTCACGCAAACCCGTTTGGAGAGAAGTCTCTCGCCGGCCGCGCGTACCCCCGCCTTGGTGCGGTGAGTGCCCCGCTCGCTGTTTGCGGAGCGCCGAGTGCAAAAGGTGCAGCCTTCGCGGAGAGTGCGCGGCTCCCCCGGCACCGCTGCTGGGACCGAGGCGGGGGAGGCCAGGGGACGCTATCTGAGGGCGGGAACTGCACGAGTCAGATCTGCAACATTGTTGTCTCCCCGGGCCGTGCCCACGGCCGCGCCGCTGGACCTGAAGCAGCCCTGCTGAGTGTCGGGCCGCGGCACGTGACCAAAGGCCCCGGTGTGCGCCGGTGTCGTAGCAGAACCGAACCTGCCGAAAGCCAAACGGAACTGAACCTAGAAGCCGGCGAGTATGGCGAACGCGAGAGAGTGTAGGATGTGTATGGAAACAATCATAAAACGATCCTGGACTGGATCCACTGGAATCTGCCTCCGCGACGTAACCCACCTTGGCAAAGCGCTGCCAACGCCTCGCCATCTACAAACGTCACAAGCTGTACCCCCCCTCTCCCCTCACACACACACTATGTATACCTGTTCATTTCTGCCACAAAAGTCGTTCGCAGATATTCTACAGTGAGACACTCCTCTATTCAGCACCAGAGACGCGTCGGTGCGAGCAAATGTCTCACTGCGGGTCTCCTGCTTTTTAAATGCAACCTAAAAATGTTTAAGAAATGTTTGAGCAGCAGAGCAGCAGCAAGAGCAAAGTTTTCGAATGCTGTTCGTTTGCAGTGCGGGTGGGGACCCGAAGCGTGCGACCGCCAACCCTCCCCGCCGATCTTGGCTCTGACTCCGCAGTTCGACTGCTAGTTGACTCAAGAAGCGGCCGCCCCGCCCCGCCACTCCCCCGTACCTGTTGCCCGGGCCGCCACTGGCAGCCGCTGGCCGTGCGGGCCCCGGCAACGCCAAGGACAAGTCCCGCTTTCGGGTGGCGCCTGCCGCCTAGGCACCCGGGCGACCGCCGAGTGCGCTGTGCTGCCTACCTCCACGGCGCTCGGCGGTGCGAGGAGGAAGCTCTCTCCGCTGTCCGCCGCCCCGCCACTGGGACCGGGCAGGGCAGGCAGGAGAGGGGGGAGGCCCGGCGATGCGAAAGAACCGGTGGTGACATCTCATCACTACAGGAGCAGGACGCGGAGACGAGACGCGTGCGGACAGATCGGCGCCGCCCTGTCGCCGCCGCCCCCTCGGGCCCATCGCGGCGTGGGGGGCGGCCTCTGCCAGAGATTAACGGGATAGGAACGGAGATGAAATGTCGTATGTTCGTTGCGCGATGTGACATCCGTGGGTCGTTGCGAACGCCGTTGCAATCGTCCTCCGCTCCCACAGGGTTCAGAACGTGTCAACCCCGTGGAGCCGAACACATCGCAACGCGGAAGGACCTGCAGGTGGAGAAGGGGCGAACTACACGCGTGGGCGCAGCGCTGCATGCGGCTGCCCCCCCTTCTCTCTCTCTCTCTCTCTCTCTCTCTCTGGCGCGCACGCTTCCCCTCCCCCTCCATCCCGCCAGCGCCCCGGCGATGCCCCGGTTAATATCGCGGGTCGTAAAATATGCGATACCGACGCGCAGGTATACTCCCTATGCACTTGCTGAACGGAGGGGCTTAACTCCACAGGCGCAGCGCGCGGAGCTGGGTGGAGCGCCAAAGTGTAATAAAACACGGGGTGGTGGTGGGGAGGGGGAGGAGGCTCTTAAGCGATACCGCAGCAGGCAGCCTGCGCCCTAACTAAACGGCTGGCAGCAGCCCTCACCTGCGAGAGCAGGCAGGAGGAGGAGGTGCGCTCGCAACCTCGGGGCTCTCAGTGCTGCAGCCCTAATGTCTCCGCAGGAAACTACACTCACCGCAAATCATTTCTTCAAATCACTACACAAATCCTACATTTCCGTTGTAAATAAACATCCCCCAAATCACCTTGAAATTCACAAAACGTGTGTGTCCCAAACTCGTCAAGGTCACGTCAGCCGTCACCCAACGAGGCTGTCAAGCCCTCAAAGCAGTCTTTGCCAGAGGAAACACCGTGCATGTCCTAAAGGCTCACAACAGCGAGCAGCCGCGCGACGCCAGCCACGCAGCGCGGGCTGTTTGAAATGAGCGGGACGTGTGCCCGCCGAGGCGCCAGTCGTCATGGCCCGTCGTAAGCCTTAACGCAATCCACCCGCGCCGCTCCGCGCTGCGCCCCGCTCCGGCCTGGCTAATCCACTTTGCCCGGTAATGAAAGGCAACAACAAGCGAGAGGGATGTGGAGGGAGAGGCCCTCTCTACACATGTGGCTCTAGATTGGCGATTAGCCACACGGCACAAGCACCGCGACCTCCGGGGGGCGGGGTGGAGGTGCCGTGCGTCGTGTCAATCTAAATCAGAGCGCTTGCCAATCACTGGGGTCGCTGGAGGCGGAGTGGGGGGGGGGTGGGGGGGGGGTGTTCGGCTGCACTCTAAAAAAAAATCAAAAAAAATCTGTAATTTGGACATGCAGTTTTTTCAGCATCTGTGATACAAAAGCTTGTATTCTTTCGGATACAAAAACAAATCTATAATATGGATACAGAAATTTGTATCCATGAATACAGAAGAAAATATGTTAATGTTCATGCTTTGATATAGAAGAAAAAGAGATTTTCCTAGCGGCTGTGTTCATGACAGGCAATTAACTTCAAATTGTGCTTTACCTAACCGCACGGAAAAATATAAGTAAGCTGTGATAGCTAATATGTTAGCTGTCAGCGTGACAAGCAATGCGTTAGCTGCGAGAGCTAATCTCTGTCTGTAAGAGCCAAGCGTTGTTCACTATAGCAGATAATCACGTCAGCTGTGAAAACTAATGCAGGATAAAAATGTTAAAATATGTCAAAAGGTAAATTTTTGCACAGTTGTTCCATTTCCATGTTTAGGGTGCGTCCTACCTGACTTTTACTTCCCACAACAATGAATTGGAACCGACCCACTTGCAAAAAGTCATATGGTTATATTTTAAATAGAAATAAAACTCAAAGAAACATGAAGGCAGACACCGTCCAGCACCTCAGGTCTCGATGGCCTCCAGCACCTATCCCGTTTCCCAGCTTTATGGCTTTTAGGCAATGTCCTCACTTTAAATAGGTTGGGCAGTTCCCTCAGTATTTGAAAGAATTGCTGGTCTGCAATTCAAATCAAAACCAATAAGATACAGTTATAAATAATGAGATGACCATGGTGCACCTATACGAACACTTACCAGAAGTCAGGGATGAAAATTTACGCCCTTTAAGAAACTTAGGCTGTTCCTGCCTAATGAGAATCAAAATGATCCTGGAGTACTCCACCCAAAGCTCCCTTAATGGATTCTCAAGGTTTGGTTGCTCTTTGATCCCATCAGAAGCAAGCTATAATGAATGAAATAAATTGTTACAATGTGTGCTTTATACCCACATAGCAATTAGGAACCACCAAAGAGTAATAGCTGAGAACATACGTAGCAATTTCCAACCCAGTGGCTGCTTTAGGGCGGGAAACTTGTCAATGTAGTAGAACAATTCTTTAGTCAATAGAAGATGTTTCTTTCTTCGAAGATGAGTTTCCTGCCACTTCTCAATGACTTCATCCCAAGGTTGATAATTTTCTAGCAGCCACATAAACGAGGGGTCATCTGCATCTTCACTAAGATCTGAAAGTCAATAAAACAAGGTAAGATTGACAGTGAATAATTTAAAAACACGAGAAGAGAGAATATAAGTTGTACTAACCAGTAAAGGTTGCGTGAGCAGTAGCATCAGGGTTTTCTTCATTGCATCCTAGTATCAATTGAGATTTAAGGAGGCCACGTCGAATGGAATAATACTTGTACCGCAGTCGGCCTTGCACAGTGGAAGAATTACCTTTTTTTACGACGTCATACCAAGTTTCCTGGAAATAATCAAATTACAATGTGAAGTTACAAGTTAACAGAAATTATAATAGGAGCAGTGATCACAAGAACTAACCTTACTCTCTGTTGGAAAGAGCGTTACAATTTCAGTAGCCATGGTATAATAATTAACTCTTTCAAACCTGAAAAAAATAATTAAAATGAGTAACGTAAATTATGGAGTTTGAGTTAGCTGACGGCAGCACTAAGATATATATAGAACTCACTTTTTGTTGAAGTCATTTTCAAGCTCTTTAAAAAGAACCTGGGAACACAGCAGGTCTCTCGAGTAGTGGTCAAGCCCCTTGTTGGCTTTATAGTGACCTAGTACCATAGGTCCAGGCAGTGATGCTTTCAAAGTCTTGTGGAGATCCTAGAAGTAAACCAAAAAATAAGCATTCCATACTCAAGAGAAACACTATACAGAAATGTGACTTTGAACGTACGTTAATGTCAGGTTCAGCAAGAAGTGCCTGGAGTTGAGCAGAATCAAGCTTCCTCTTCTTTGATCTGTTGTTATGGCGGTGTCATCATCCTCATCATCAGTTAACAAATCATCATTTGAGTTGTTCTAGAGAAACAGTATATTGACGTTAAATAAAGTCCTCCTGAGAATGGCAAAGTTATCTACTGGAGAGAAAGTGCAATACTCACAGAATGCTTCCACAAATGGAAATGATGAAAAAATATAGCCCTTGGACCTTCCTTTGTTATAAGTGTTTTGACAGCATCCTCTCCAATTAGCTTTGAAGAGTCAATAGTCCAATCTTGCTCTGAAACAAACATAGCCTCTACTTACTTGCACACCAACTCACGATTAGCAAATTCAACAAAGTCAACGGGGCGCGCACATATTATTTCACATAACCTTGTGACACAAGTGTGCAACGTCGGAACATTTTGTAGGGGATCTTAAACAAGGAATTGGAAAGTGTTGCTTAGCATTTAGCCCGAACAAAAATCATAGCAGCTAATAACTATCGGCAAAAGGAATGATCAGAGCACAATTACTCGCTTGTTTAAGAGTGAAGTGTCACTTCTCGATTGAACAGCTGACATGCCGGCCGCAACGAACGACATAACCTCTCGCTATCTAGGCTAATCTTTGCAAGACTCAAACAACTCTCATTAACACGCGATTCTATCAATTTCACATTTACTCCAGCAAAAGAGACACTATGACACAGTACAAGGAAAAAAAACCTTGGGTCCGTCTTACGATGAATATGACAAATCCTAACAATCATAACAGACAAACACTTTGACCATGACCCTACTCACCGATAAAAGCATTCACCACCGGGGCGGGCAGTTTCCATCCGGTCAATAACGCCGACAATTGTTCCGCCATACTGATGAGAGGAGTAGACACTGAGAACAATTTCACTCGGGAAGTCGATATTTATTGCTGTTGCGGCCATTCTAAACCTGCTCTGGCGCCAAAACACTCTCGATTGTCGAAACGCAATCTTCAGTTGTGATGACAAATTTTTGAAAGGCGGGGAAGCTGAAACCATTTTGTCGGGGAGTACGAACGGTATTTGCACGATGAGACAAGATTCTGCTCCAATAGCCATACCGTATTTTTGGGAGAGGCAACAGATCAAAACAGAACTAGAACTGAACTATACTGAACCAAACTCTCGACCTTTGATTCTGTGTCGAGCACAGGCCCACGGTCCCGACATTTCACGAGGGAGCTACCAACCTTCTAGCAAAAAACAAACTGCATTAGGGACTCCAAATGTCTTGAAATCTAGTCTCTTGATAATGGAAAAACTTTATCATAACGAGTTTAAATTAAATAAAACATTTTAAAACGTTGTCATACTAAAGTATTGTCTTTGAAAAAAAAACTTTGTTCGGTGCTTTTGAGTTCCCTCGGTTACCTTACCTGTTCCAGGCATGAACCCCCTCCTCCCCTC